GAAAAAAACCTCCGGCGAATCACACCGGATAATTTCTCTTCCATACACCACCCAATCCAACCCAAAGCCCTTGGAGTTGGAATCAAAGACGAAGCAAAGTGACTTGTAATCTGCTCTCTGCAATTCCTTTCCTAGAATACAATTGGTGTCAGTTGGGCTTTCACGTCACATCTCATTTGATTTCTGGTAACCCAGAATTCCTAATTCCATTCTAGTGTCGTTCATTTCTTGAATTCTGTATAACGATATCTATTGAGTTTACACACGTGTATGTATTTGTGAAATTGTGTCGTTCGAGTTAGGGTTAATTTTTGTTCCATCTTCAATGTGTAAATGCCAATGTTTCCAATTCAATTTGGGTCAGTTGGGTGTGTTTGTGTGTGGATTTCTCTATTGAATATATTCTGTTTGGAGAATTCTCAATTATGAGAATTGGGGAGTACCTACACAATTTTGATGATTGTGTCCACTGTCTTTGGGCCGCGTCAAGTTCATTTTAGATGTGTGTCAAGTAGGGGACTATGAAATACCGATGCAAGTTGAAAATAATCTTGGCTTCCCTGAAAACATCAATGGTTTAGATTCATATATCACTATATTGCTCAATGCGTGTACTATTAATAATATGTAACAAGTTCCCATGAGACCCCTTCATTTTCAAGAATGTTTCATCGCTTAATCCTTGTTTTCCTTTTCCCCTCTTGGAATTTGCTATTATTAAAGTATCTTTTGCTCTAGTGTACATCTCAGCTGTTTTCATTCTTTGTAGCTATTGATAGAGTTTATTTGATTTGCTGCTTCACATATATTGTTTTTGTTGATAGGACGAAATGGCCTTGTTTCCCCGTTAAAATACGTTCTTGTGATGTTTACTTCAACCAAGATAGCCAGTGGTTCTACCCTGAAGAACATTAACTGATTGACTTTGTACTCACTGCTATGTGAATCCACTCCATTATATCCAAGACACTGCTATGTGAATCCATTCCATTATAGCCAAGATCCACTTATGCTTCTTCAGTTCCTTTTGTATCTTGATAGTCTCACTTGTAATATAAGAAGAATTGTGGTCAAAATAACTATCAGCATATAGTTTATGCACATAGGTTGTCCATATTTGTTTGACTGAAAATTATAGACTAATTGAAATTTCGGCCATTGGCTACCAATGGACATTAACTGATGACATAGAATAACTATGTTCTGTTAAATCTTTAGTTTTCAACTTCCAGTTATCTTGTTTTCTTTGTGCCCATTGGTATCTTGATGATATCATTTAGTTTAAAAGAATATCATGGTGAAGCTAACATGTCAGGTATGACAGTCCCTACAATGCAACTTCTTTCTTGTTGTATAGTCCACAATAAGATGGCAAGGTGGATTGCTCTATTTGTTTGACCAATTGGTACAACTTCAGTTTTAGTTGATGCAATGCGGTTATGCCTATCATATTCACAACCATGTGATAATAGTTGTATCATTTGTTGACTTAATTTCCTTCTCAATTTCATTATCAATGCACATGTCATTTTAGTTTAGAAAAACTCCCCATACCCTTTTCTGCAATTTTCTAGGGTTCTAAGTCAGTGAGGCTCATTTTTTGCTTTGTACATAAACAAATAAAAGAAAACTTGAATTTTTATTTGTAGTAAAATGTACCCATTATGAACAAGAACTTTTGCACTTTGTTTGTTGTCATATTGTCTGAAAAATAGGAGGTGGTGAAGGATTGCCCAGCATCTGTCCTGGAAAGCAACATCAATGGAGAGTCATTTTCCATTGTTTTAAAGGATTTACAAAAGTTGTCACTACAAAATTTATTATTCTTTTATTACTCCTAAAGCAATTCTGGTAGAGTTTTCTTAGAAGTATTTCCCCCATCTTTTCCCGAACACTGAAGGATTCCTCCTCTAATAGTGAGATCTGGTTGGAATTTACCAAATACATGGAAGTCTCTCTGACAACCTACTAAATTTTTCATTAATTCGGTAGGGACTGTCGAGTATTTGATGTCGTCTATGACGTTGTAAACGGCGTCTTGATCGTAGTCCTTGAAGCTTATTCTACCAAAGAAGTAATTGTGTCGTCCGAGACTTCTGACCCAGGTGTTTTTTCCTATTCTTGAGGGTCCTTCGAGGTAAAGGGAGATTAGACAGATGGGCCGCTGTTCTGGGTCCTATTATCAGAGGAGGAGGAGAGTTCTTCGTCAGTATATAAATTGTTAATATTATTTTTGTGCACATTTTTTTTTGGGGCAAATTACATATACCCCTCTCGAGATTTAGTAAAATTACAGATACCCTCCTGAGGTTTGAGAAATTACAGATACCCCCCTGAAGGTACTATTTGCATAACAAATTAGGGGGCAAATTGTTATGAAAATATAAACCTCAAGGGGCAATTTGTTATGAAAATATAAACCTCAGGGGGTATCTGTAATTTTTGAAACCTCAGAGGTGTATCTGTAATTTAGCTAAACCTCGAGGGAGGTATATGTAATTTGCCCTTTTTTTTTTGGTTCAATTGTTTCATTATTAAGTTTGGACATGTTTTTGCAATCCCACTAAAACCCAACTCAACAAGGTTATGTCGTGGTGTCACTGATATGCCTGACTCTTATAATTTGTGGCCCGAACTGTCGTTGATTCATGTGTGCATGTGTATGTGTTCAATTTGTTTATTTGATAATATTTACTCTGGTAGTAATAGTCTTAGATTGATTATGGTGTTTAACATTGGCTTTGGACATGTAAACTGGTGTAAATGAGTTGCTGGTTTAACAAGCTTCCATCACATTGCACTTGATCTAAAGCCTCGCGCTTTTTGTTTCTACTTGTTGCACAAAGAACTCTGGCTTGGGATTGACTTTTGTTGTTTATGTTTTTACACACTGCTTAGAAAATGGAAAATGAGTGACTGATTCAGGAATAACATTGCAATACACGCACTGGATTTCGCTGGTGTGTGCCTCAGTACCAAAAAGAAGTTGAAATTGTATATCGATTTGACATTCCTAGCTCCAAGCTTGTAACATTTTTATCATTAGCAAATGTGGTAACTAAAACCCCTAAGCTAACCAGTGTCAACATACATGATTGGATGTTATTTGAAACTAATTAATCTTGTTTCCCTGCTTCGCAGTTTGTTGCTGGCTTGCTCCAGCAATCTTGATGTCGCGAACACGCAATGCCATTGTTGCTACCGGCTTAGTGGCTTTTGCAGCCGGAGGCTTAGCATTTCCCTTCTACATGGCGTAAGTAGACCTGGATTTTGGTAATAATATCAATAATGTAAATGTTAATGTGTGTATATATATATATATTATTGCTTTAAACTGAATTAGAGCATAATAATTGGTTACTCCCAGGTCCAAGTCATCAAGGGCGAAGCCTGTGATTGACTCATCAAAGGCATTGCCACCTCAGGCAACTTTCCGAGGGCCTTACATCAACACTGGTTCACATGATATTGGACCTGATCAGCAAACTTACCAAAAGAAATAAAATTTATTTTTTGAAAAAAGCTTTTTTTTTTTTTTTTGTCCAAATAAGCTTGTTTTTGTGAATTTTATATGCATTGAAAGAAATATTGGGTCCATGCTACTTTCTGCTGCTGGTAAATTTGTAGGTGAATTATGAGAATAAATGCAATGACTGATCTAAGGGCCAGATGCTTTGTTTTATTTTTGGATTAATTTGATGTGAAGATGGACAAAATAACTTGGAAGAAGGAAATGTTGAGCGACTCATGAGAGGACAGACAAAATTTAATTTGTTTATTTTTTTAACGAGTTTTAATTGGATTAATTATAAGTCAGTTTTTTTGTAAGTTTGGAAAATTGATGAATTCTAAAACATTTTCATGTAATAATGAGAGCTTTTCGAATGAATTTTTAACCGGACAAAGATAAGTTAAATTTTGTTTTGTCTTTTTATCCAAAGATGAGTGAAATTTAAATAATTTAATTTGTTGTTCGAGCAAGATTTTTTACGATCCACGATTCAAGAATTTTTACTTACAAGGGAGCCAAACTCCTAGGTCCAAGTTTTATACCTTTTTTTTTTTTCATTTCAACTTAGAATTCCGCTATGTTTCTTGAAAAATGGAGCTCCAATGGCCCGAATGTGTTGGCAAGGCTTCCTCTTGTCTTCTGTCTAGTTGCCCACACCTATGTGAAACTATGCATTTGATTTCCAAAAAATAACTTTCTCTTCTAGATCTCATGGAGAAAGTTTCTCTCTAACTCTCTCTGTCCGTCTCCAACTTCTCCCTTTTGTTCTAGGAACTAATTGGCTTGGGCAACATGTCGTTTTTTTTAGCTTAAGTGGCCAAATTTGACACAAACTAATCTTGCTTAACCTATAAGAAAGAGATTAGAGATTTTACCGAGTAATTGTAGCTTCACGATATTTGTTTGACGTAAGCACCTGATTTAAGGTTTTCTACATCACCTAAGTGTTAAACTCTCGAGTCCAACATGATGAATTAGAGCTCAATTTAATTTTATTCCCGTTTCCTTTTCTTTTCTCTAACTTTCTCTTCTAGATCTCATGGAGAAAGTTTCTCTCTAACTCTCTCTGTCCGTCTCCAACTTCTCCCTTTTGTTCTAGGAACTAATTGGCTTGGGCAACATGTCGTTTTTTTTAGCTTAAGTGGCCAAATTTGACACAAACTAATCTTGCTTAACCTATAAGAAAGAGATTAGAGATTTTACCGAGTAATTGTAGCTTCACGATATTTGTTTGACGTAAGCACCTGATTTAAGGTTTTCTACATCACCTAAGTGTTAAACTCTCGAGTCCAACATGATGAATTAGAGCTCAATTTAATTTTATTCCCGTTTCCTTTTCTTTTCTCTAACTTTCTCTTCTAGCTCTCAAGAAGAAAGTTTCTCTCTAACTCTCTCCGTCCTCCACCATTCTCTCTTTTGTTGTAGGAACTAATTAGGTTAGGCAACTAATAGCTTCATTAGCTTAAGTGTCCAAGTTTAACTAAAACTAATCATGCGAAATAGTAGTTATTTTTTGAAGACAGCCTTTTTTTTTTTTTTTTTTGCCAAATAAATTGAAGATTGTTTTTGTGAATTTTATATGCATTGAAAGAAATATTGGGTCCATGCTACTTTCTGCTGCTGGTAAATTTGTAGGTGAATTATGAGAATGAATGCAATGACTGATCTAAGGGCCAGATGCTTTGTTTTATTTTTGGATTAATTTGATGTGAAGATGGACAAAATAACTTGGAAGAAGGAAATGTTGAGCGACTCATGAGAGGACAGACAAAATTTAATTTGTTTATTTTTTTAACAAGTTTTAATTGGATTAATTATAAGTCAAAGTTTTTTTGTAAGTTTGGAAAATTGATGAATTCTAATACATTTTCATGTAATAATGAGAGCTTTTCGAATGAATTTTTAACCGGACAAAGATAAGTTAAATTTTGTTGTCTTTTTATCCAAAGATGAGTGAAATTTAAATAATTTAATTTGTTGTTCGAGCAAGTTTTTTTACGATCCATGATTCAAGAATTTTTACTTACAAGGGAGCCAAACTCCCAGGTCCAAGTTTTATACTTTTTTTTTTTATTTCATTTCAACTTAGAATTCCGCTATGTTTCTTGAAAAATGGAGCTCCAATGGCCCGAATGTGTTGGCAAGACTTCCTCTTGTCTTCTGTCTAGTTGTCCACACCTATGTGAAACTACGCATTTGATTTCCAAAAAAAAGAAGAGAGAGTAGAGAGAGAGGACAACAAAACTATTATGGACAACCTAACAAAATTGGCCGACCTATGTGCCGTTGCTGACCATCAGCTTGGGTGCTGCTGCTGACCATCGACCTGGGTTACCACGAATTAAGGGTGTAACTCGAGCGGGTTCGATCGGGTTGGAAGATTGTCCAAGTTCGATCGGGTTGTTTCTCACTCCATTTTTGGTTGTAGGTTTAGGTAGGCAATTGAAAGACTGCGATAGCATTTTCCAGTGTTTCGGATTCCACCAAGAAGAATAATTGAGTGCAAGAGAACATTTGGCTAGCTTCTTTTTCTTTTTCTTTTGAGGTGGGGCAGTTGGGAACTTGTGGTTTCTAATCGCTATTGAGCAAAGTTGTACAAGATAATCTTAATTTGATATGCTACTTTGTTTTGCATTTCTCATCTTGAAATCGAATTTGGGTATTCACCGACGATGATGACGACGACGACGAAGGCCATCGACCTGGGTTTTACTGGCAGCCGTCGTTGACCACCAACCTGGGTAGACCACCACCATCCACCTCTCTTCGAAATCTCCACCGCCGACAATGTTGCGCACTTGTATATGGACAATGTGATTGTGCTTGCACTCCGAAGTTTTATTCTCACTTTTTCTTTGAGCATTACAGCATTCATAGGAGATTGGCTTTGAATGTAAGTTCTTCTTCTGCTATAGGATGTCAATTCTGTTTTTTTGCTTTTTGTGTTTGTGCTCTGATTTCTAGTTTGAATCTTTCTGATATTGATTCATTTTGATTCATCGTTCTATTAATTCAATTGCAAAAGGCTAAAGGATTTTTTTGTTTTTGTTTTTTGAATTGATGCATTGTGTGTTTGTTGAAAATCCACAATAGAATAAAAAAATAGTTTGTATGATTTTTGTGGAAAATGGGTTGGTTGTTTGCAAATACTAGTGCTTATTCTACAAATTGCTTCAGGTTCTGATTGGAATTCTTAATGTAGGATTGTCCATTTGAAACATTTGCACCTCTGCTACTGTCTAGTAACTTCAACTTCAAATCCTTTCATGTTAGCATTAAAAATTACACAAATTTGATGAAAGAGATTTAATATATATATACATGTTTCATAGTTGTCCTGAGGATCTTGAAGAGATGAAGACACATGCTTTTGAGTCTTAAGAAAGGGAGAGATAGAGAGGAGAGACAAAAGACATTGTGTGTGAGTCAAAAAAAGAGACGCCTTGGCAAAATATTCGAGCCATTTGAGGCCCTGTTTGTTTTCAGAGGTAGAATAAAGGGAATTGATAGTGAGAGGATTAATAGTGAAGGAATTGTTAGTGAGGGGATTAAGTAAAATTGTGTTTGTTTTGATGATAGTTGTTAGTGTGGAGATTGTTAAATTATTTTTATACAAAATAAATATAAAATAATAAAACAAACAAAAAAAATACAAAAACATTAAACATTAGGGTGATGCACCAATAAATCCCAAAATACCAACTTATACACTGTTTAGTCCCAAATGTTTTCTTGTGAACCGAACAGTCCCATTATATGGAAAATGACCATTCAGGGCATAAACATTGTGGTCGTCAGTGGTGAGACTAATGGGCAATCTTGGTAATTTAATAATGTGAAAATACGAAAATAGGGCAGCAGTTTCGTATGCTGTTACATTAGTTGTTTCTTATTCCGTGGTGGAGAGGTTCGTTTGGAAGGAAAGATTTGGGGTTTTCAGAAGGAAATTTACATCTGAAATCGGATGGCGAATCTGTTTGGGGGAAGGTAACGCTACATTATGGAAACCCTAATTGGTATTAATTTGTTGACGTTGTGGTGTTGACGATTAGTGGGAAGACATTGCGATTGAAGCGTGAAAGGCCTCGTATACTTCGATATCCGACTTCGTTTGCGATAAGGATTGGAAGACGGTGTTACGTGAGGGGACGTCTGAGAATGACAAAAAGGAGTGGAGGTATGTTGTTTTTGACAGTTTTGTTTTGTTATTTTTGAAGTTGTTTTGTTTGATACGGAGAAGATTCTTGTTGGGTTATAATGTTGCTGTTGTTGTTTTGTTTTTTGAGGGGAATTGTGGCTGTGGCCAGTGTTTAAGTTCGATGTTTATGTTTGGAATTGGTTGTGGGTGTGTCTTTGTGGGATATTATTTTGGGTTTGATAACGGTGTTGGGTAGGATGTTGGAGATGCTGTTATAGTGGGTGGACAAAGTCTCTGTTTCAATGATGTGGGTGATTATTGCAGTGTCACAATGTTGATTGTTGGGTACTATGTTGGGTAGGATGTTTCATGTCTTCGTTTTTTGTGATGTTCTGTGTCGCGACAATGTGACGTTGTGTAAGGTTAATGTGTTAATTAGGTTTTGCTGATGTTGTTGGTTACGTTGGGTAGGTAATGTTAGTAATGTTATTGTTTTTATTAATGTGTCCATGATGTTGTTGGTTATTACATTGGCATAGTGTAGTTTGATAATGTTTTAGTGATGTTTTAGTGATGTTTTTGATTGTATTGGGTGTACAATGTTGATGTCTCTGTTTTCATGATGTTGTTCATTAAGGCAATGTCATATTGTAGTATGTGCGTGTTTTTTGTGAAATTCTGGGATGTTCAGCACGATGTTTAATTTCTATGGTTTTGTGATGTTATTTGTCGTAGCAATATGATTTTGTAATAAATTAAGGTTGTAATTATGCTTTGGAGATGTTGTTGGGTAGATTGGGTAAACAATGTTTATGTCTACGTTTTGATGATGTTGGTAATGACGGCAGTGGCACATTGTCGAGTTGACGTGTTTTGTAACGTTGGGTTGTTGGGTATGGGGTTGTTTATGTTGTTATGTTTGGTGGACAATGTTAATGTGTATGTCTGCTTGTTGTTATTGCTTATGCGAAGTTATTAGTGTGGACTGTACGTGTTATGTTCTGCAACTCTGGGGTGTTTACGTTCTCAGTGCTGTTTGTTATTTGTGCAGGGGTGATTTTGAGGCAGTCACCACGGAAAAAATGTGGTGGTGTGGCACGTGACGTGGGCGATTCTGATTTCATGTCAGAATCGATTGTTGTGAAAAGACAGGGGAAGATACCATTCAAGGGGAAAAAACAGAATGTCCATGGTATGAAGGAAATGGTAGTTGACACTACGCGCCTGGCATATCGTTCTAATATAAATTGGGTTATCAAAACCGTGCTAGAAATAAATTTGACAGCAGCCCATGAAAGACAACTACGAAGAACACCATTTTGGGCAATGATTAATTCCATCCGCAAACACAACTTGTCGCCAAATGTGTATAAAAAATGCGATGAGACAGTGTTCCAAATACTGCAAACATACAATCCTGAGGATGAAAAATTTTACATTAGGGGGAAAGGCGTTCCATTGCGCCGAAGCGATATCCGACTCATTTTTGGCATTCAGTGCGGCGTGGAGCAGCTTGATTTAGCTCATGGGTCAAGGCCACCGTCTGATTTTATTCAGCGTCGTTACTGTATTGTGGGGAGGATATCATGCAAAAAAATTAAAGAACTGTTAGATGATGCAGTACAGGGAAATAGTGTTAATGACGAGGAAGATGTCGTGAAGCTACTGTCGTTATATATATGTGCGAAACTGTTTTTTACAACGACTGGAGAGTCTATCGGGTGGGCGTTCGTCCGAGTTATTGACAAACTAAGTACGATACAGTTGTATGATTGGGTTGTTGCAGTACGTGGCACGCTAATTGCATCACTGAACAAGTATCATGATCGGCCGGAAAGGGTAACCGGATGTGTTGTCGTTTTACTCGTAAGTTAATGTTTTATTTTCGTAATATACTATTTTCTTAGCGACTGACTTGCTTGTATTAGTTGGTTAGCATGTCATGTTAATGAATGTCTTTGCAAATGTACTGCAGTTTTTCATTTGTGAACACACCAACCTTATGGAGCCGGAATGACAGAGTGTGCTGCCAAGGTTCTGCAGATGGAACATTGTAAATTTGACGACCAAAATGAAAGGGGTCGACTTGAGTAGCGGAAGACAATTTGAGGTATGACATGGGTGGATGGGTTGTATGGTTTTTGTGGATGGTACGTGTTGGAGTCGTTAACAATTTTGTAACGTGTTTGGTAGGTAAGGTGTGGTAAACTAGAGGGGGCAATTCTTGAACGGTACAAAGTTGGTACGACATTGGTTAGTGGTGAATGCATGGGGTCAGAAACCAAAGTGCTCGACGTACAGCCAGTGTTGGTACATGTCAGTGTGCCACATAAAGATGTTGGTGCTGATGTTGTAGAGGCAAGTTTGAACTGTTGGCAAGTGGACTCATTTGCAGGGGTCCATGTTGAGAAAGCTGGAATGACGGACGAGGCAGACACAGACGATGGAGGCAGCAAGTGTGTTACGAAGCGTGCATTTGGCGCGGTTGTAGGAGGTGAAGGGTGGCCAGTATTGTTCCCAAATCTGCTGGATTTGTCAAGCACGCAACCAGCTAAGGATGCAGATACAGAAGCAAGCAGTGGTAGCAGTAAAATGAGTGCAGTGCGTGACAGAATAGCGGAGTTGGAGGAAGAATTGAGGCAGAAATTAGAACGTGTGCGTGAACTTGAATGTAAGGTTACGAGCATGGAACGCGCACTTGGTTCACAAGCTGCAAATTTGTGTATGGGGTTCGAAACTGTTATCAGTTTGAAGGATGCTGAAATTGCACGTTTGAATGCCCTAGTGTCGGAGATGAAAACGACAGTAGCACAGTTGGAGGACCAAGTTGATAAGTACGAGGCGCACGAGGTAACGCAGCTGGCTAGGAACACAACTAAAAGTCATGGCACGTCATCAGACGAACGGGATGGGTGTGAGTTAACTGCACAGTGGTTTAATGGAAACCAGACGGATGCTCCGGTGAATACCACAGCCAATGTCGTAGGTAAAAGTTCTGAGTTGAACGAAGCACGCAGCGTTGATGGTGATGTAGGTAACACCTTAGGTAGTGGGCATAACGTAATGGTGGGGAGCAGGGATGGAGTTGTAAATCAGGGGTCAACGTTATGTGCCAGGGTATGGACTCCAGTGGAGGAAAAAAATAAATGCAATTCTGCTGGCACAGGTAACACAGCAGCAACAGCGAACAATTCGAACATTAAACATGTTCTTGATCGGCCAGGCAGTGATGTGGTGGACAGGGTAATAGACTTTGTGAATATTAAGGAACCGAACATCACATCATTGGTGCGGCGTGTGAAGAGCAAAGCTAGGCCAGAGTAGAGGTTACAGGATTACGAGTATCCTGGGTTGGTGAAGCGTTGTAAACAGTCAAAAGATGAGGGTAATATGGCCAAACTCACAAATGAGGATGTAGTTAACATTGAAGACGACGAGGGAGGGTGAGTGTAGTGCATGACAGAGTAGCGGAGTTGGAGGAAGAATTGAGGCAGAAATCGGAACGTGTGCGTGAACTTGAATGTAAGGTTACGAGCATGGAACGCGCACTTGGTTCACAAGCTGCAAATTTGTGTATGGGGTTCGAAACTGTTATCAGTTTGAAGGATGCTGAAATTGCACGTTTGAATGCCCTAGTGTCGGAGATGAAAACGACAGTAGCACAGTTGGAGGACCAAGTTGATAAGTACGAGGCGCACGAGGTAACACAGCTGGCTAGGAACACAACTAAAAGTCATAGCACGTCATCAGACGAACGGGGTGGGTGTGAGTTAACTGCACAGTGGTTTAATGGAAGCCAGACGGATGGTCCGGTGAATACCACAGCCAATGTCGTAGGTAAAAGTTCTGAATTGAACGAAGCACGCAGCGTTGATGGTGATGTAGGTAATACCGTAGGTGGTGGGCATAACGTAATGGTGGGGAGCAAGGATGGAGTTGTAAATCAGGGGTCAACGTTATGTGCCGGGGTATGGACTCCAGTGGAGGAAAAAAGTAAATGCAATTCTGCTGGCACAGGTAACACAGCAGCAACAACGAACAATTCGAACATTAAACATGTTCTTGATCGGCCAGGCAATGATGTGGTGGACAGGGTAATAGACTTTGTGAATATTGAGGAACCAAACATCACATCATTGGTGCGGCGTGTGAAGAGCAAAGCTAGGTAGGAGTGAAGGTTACAGGATTACGAGTATCCTGGGTTGGTGAAGCGTTGTAAACAGTCAAAAGATGAGGGTAATATGGCAAACTCACAAATGAGGATGTAGTTAACATTGAAGATGACGAGGGAGGGTGTAAAACATGGGCTGGATTTGGAATGAAAAATCGGTATCCGGTTTGGAAATTGTTGGTTGAAGATGAACAGAAACTGTTGCAAGTGGTGTACACATTTGAAGGGGACGGGTAACGTACTCGTTTCTTATTTTAGTTGTTGTGGTTTTCTGTGACATTGGTTATTACATTTGAATTGTACTTATGTGCTTGTGATTTGGTGTAGGGCTGTGGTATGGAGTGCAGCAGAGTATGGTGTGCGGGTTAATTTCAAAGACATCCAGTCGCTTGTGGAAGGGGGGCCGACTGCCGGAAATGTAAGTATGATGTGATATGTAAGTATGATGTAAGAACGTCATCACTTACACCATTGACATGCATTAAGGGTTCTTTGAAATGAATTATGAGCATTGTTTTGTACGGCTAATGTATTTGGAACATGTGAATAATTTGTGTTGCTAGGTTATTGACGCATATGCTGAAATTTTAAAAAGTTCACTGAACGTAGCGGCTGTTAATTGTGCTAATTTCAGCAAATCTTACTTCCACAGCAGTCTGTGTTCGGTACGTATATAGTATTATGAGTAGTGTTACATTGTCGGATAGTGTTGTGAATTTTCCTGGACAGTTGGGCAGTGCAGTTATTGGTTTAATATTGGTTTGCTATATTTTGTAGGATATGATAAGGAATCGAAGCATAATGTCGAAGGACAGTTACCTGAGCGTGCACGTGATTGCTGCATCTGGGTGCAGATACGTCCATTACCCTATATACCATGCAAATCATTGGATGACCATGGTGTACGATTCAGACTCGGGGACATGGACACACTACAATTCAATCAAAACGCGTAGAGGCAGCCGAGATGATCATTTTGCTGAGGCGGTGAAAGTGGTAAGTACAAGTGAATGGTAATTACATGTATGTGTCGGGTGTGCGTGCGTTGCGTATAAGGTGATAGGGTGTGTTTAGTGTGACTTATTGGGTCGTGTTACGTAACGCAGAAACAGTAGGCCGTCGATTACACAAAACGGGTAGCAGGAAAATTGCCATCCATTGTGGGTGTCACATCAGAGAATATCGACGGGCCATTGGAGGCGTTGGGTGATTGTCCCCAACAACACCCGGAATCGTATGTTCAAATCTTAACTCTGGCTTAAATTTGTTCTATTGTCTGTGAAGTTATTCTTTGGTTTGATAATGTTGATTAACGTGTTCATGTGTTGGGAATTGGTAGACCGGATTGCGCTATTATGGTATGCTTCATCATGCGATAGTACGCAAATAACGTGGAGGTTGAAGGTTCAATGGATGGGATGACAGCTAGTGTGTTCAGAGCAGAAATGGTTAAGGCATTCATCAATGATCTGCATAGAGGGCTCCGAAATCGACTGCTGCCCTGACTGATTTGGTGGAATGCATAGATTAGCTTAATTTTTTGTTTTTGTTCTTTCTACTGAACATGGAAATGTTTTGTTCATGTGGTAGTGATTTTTTGATGGTCCAGTAGCTGCGTGTCTGTTACTGGAGAAACAGAAAAATATTTTACAACAACATTGCAAAACATGGACAAACCCGAGGATGGGTTTTTTGGCAGGGTTACTAAATGTTAATGGTTTTTGTTTGTGTTTTGTTACATTGTGTTTGTGAATGATGTTAGTTCTAGGTTTGACATTTTGTAATGTGTATGTGTTGGATATGCTGGAAAACGAGTAGTGTGGTTCGCTTTGGGTTAATGTGTGTACGTGTTTAGAGGGAAAAGTTGTAGGTAGGATGTTGCAAAGGCGGTGTTTTTTTATGTGTAGTAGTTAATAAAGTCATACTGTGGTTATGGTTGATTGTGTACTTGAATGTATGTAACTGTTTGAATTGGATGACATGCGCAGAGGTCGTAGTCGGAAGTAGCATCGTTCGTCGTTCGGTCGGTTTGCAGCGTGGTTATTGTGTTTAGGTAGGGGATGGTGTTAAACCCAGAAATTAAACTACAGGATGCTACATTTTAGTTGAAACGTTTGTTTTTGAAAATGTGTGAAATTTGTTGCTGTCAAAATTTACTTGGAAAACATGTTAATTGTGAACTTAACGCATAATACATGTAACTGTCATGTGATCCGTCCAGCACCACGGACATGCAAGAAAAATGTTTATAACATATTAATGTATCAAAAATGGATGTAAAAGTAAATGCACGTCACACATAGTATCGAGTGGTGAGGAAAGTAAATGGTTTTGGCTGATGTGGGTTTGGAAAATTTAATCGAAATGTTAAATGTAGTGGCAGATGGTAGGGCAGAATGCGTTTGTGAACATTGTGCTGAAATGTGAAAGCAAACCCACATGTGCGATCCATATGCAGTTATAACGTCATGAAAACGTTGTGAAGTAGGAATTTAAATGAACGGGAAAAATTGTTGTAAAAGAGGAGAAAATGTATGAAATTCAATGAATTAGGGAAAAACCCGCAAACTAGACACAGGAAAATAAACTTTCTGTAACATGACTAAATTGGCTCCTTGCAGGTCTTCCTATTGTGGTTGCCAATTTTTCCACACTGACCACAACGGATCCGTTGCACAACCCCGCCCTTTGATGGAATTCGTTTACGTTTCGGCCTGCCAGGCGGACGCTTCACCTTCGGGGGCGCTATCATAAAATTGTTTGGCGTAAATGTCGGCTTCTCAACAGTTGGAATCGGAAAAATTGTTCCGCTACACAAAGCTTGAAATTCGTCAATACGATAGTATGTGTCAATAGAATCATATATATTCCGTCTACTATTACGGAAAGTGACAACAGCATGAGAACACAGAAACCCATTCAGCTGCAACTGGAAACATGAACATGATCGCCTTGCCACATCAACCAAAACAGAGGGTTGACTATACACCTCGTAAACATTGTCATCAGCCTGACTAACACTCTAGCCCCTACTCTCATTATACGCCGTGACCAATTTCTTCTCCATTTTCGGGCATAATACGCCGATCCACTCCCTTGCCTTGACTCTACGCTCCGCCATTTGTTTCATTATTTGACCCCTAACCATGTCGACCAACCTAGTTATTGGAAGATGACGCACCTCCCGTATCCAGTTGTTAAAAGATTCAGCTGCGCTCGACCATATCTCACCGTAACGTTGCCCCCTGCAAAAAGATAACAACAATGAACACAAAATTAATTTTTTAAACAACAAACTGCTAAGCACGTTAGACTATGTAAGAAATTGAAAAAAATTGAAGCCATTAAAGTACTACGCAGAACGGGTACAATCAAACATACATGAAATACGCATTAGCCCAGTGGGATGGATGCAAGTCTTTTAAGAAGTTTTCAATCACAGCCGGGCTACACTCTTTTAACCTTTCAACATCTCTATTTTTTGATTATAAGATGGTATAGTAGGGGCATAAGCACATTCTCGGAGCTTCCGCATCAACCCAACTTTACGAGATGTATTAACGTATTTCATCCGGTCTCTCAAATTCTTTTGAAGATGTAGCAAACAAAATGCGTGATGTGCTGAAGGGAAAATAAGTGGCATAGATTGTAAGAGACCCGCGTGACGATTCGATACAAACGTCAACGTACGCCCGTCACCCACGACTTCTTTAAGATTTCGTAAAAACCACTCCCAATTTTGTTGATTTTCAGAATCAACAATTGCGAAGGCCACCGGAAACAAGCCTGCAAAACAATAGTAGAAAAAGGCATAATTAGAGTACACATCATGGAGTACATCATCTTAAAAATTTGCGTCCAGTACATATATATGTAAAAGGTTCATTAAAAATAATCGGAATTGAAATGTGACAATTTTTTTTCTTAGCAAAGAATAAAGGAAAAAATCTGATACGTCACCTTTATTGCCATCTTTCGCGGTAACAGCTAACAAATTTCCCTTGAATCTGCCTTTCAGAAACGTGCCATCCAAAAAAAGTAACAGCCGATAATGGTTGAACCCATCTACACATGCACGGAAGGATATAAAATACCGAACGAACCTCCCAGTTTGTTGGTGAAATTCAAGGTTAATGTAACTGTTTGGGTTCTTTTCCATAACGGAATCACTATACCACCTAAGTTGGTCGAATGACATAGCGTGATCTCCATAGACTTCACCTTTCGCTTTCTCAACCCCTAACCACGCAACCCGATAACTAATATCCAAGCCGTAGTCATTTTTCATATCGGAAACAATGTTCGTAGGACGCTGTAGACGTCCCCGAACGCCCCGGGAGGATGAGTCCCATTATGTTCATATTGGGCTCGCTACATTTCAGGACTCTCAAATTGTCACGGTCCTAAATCTGAACCAAAGAGTCCAAATCTGGCAAATCGTTTTGGAAAACAGATTTTTAGAAAAGAAGTGCCAAACATGGACTGCTTTTCCAGATACGGAGTCACCACCTAAATATTTTTTATGGGGGAATTTAGGAAATCCTGACTCGGTGCCAAAGGCCACGTGTCCGTCATCACCAAAGTTACCTCGGCTCAGGAGCTTGGGTACGATTGGGGAAGGTCAGCTATGAGCACCCCCTCTCGCCCGATCCGAAGATCAGCCTCTACTAACTGTGATATCCGTTTTTGAAAACGCTATGTGTTCTTATTCCGGTTATTAGCCTAGAATTACTATGTTATGCGCACAACAAACAAGTATAGACCATATCACCTAAATTGGAACAAAGCATTTCATGTTTGTTTTGAAAATGGTTTGCTACTCGCAAGTAGGCTAAAATGTAAGTTTTGCCACGCTCAAGTGGGCTTTAGAAAAGATGGTTTTGCCACTATCTAGTGGGCTTAAAACTCACAGTTTTAATACATTATTCCAATTTAGGTAATTCAACCTCCACCCACAGGCATTCAAGCAGTTATATCACATAAGCAAGTAGCCTCATGGTAAGCATGCTGTCATGGCAACACTCACACGCATGCAAGGATGCTAAAACATAAATGCTCACCGAGTACTCCAAGTCAAAACATAAACTAATTAGTAATCATGTGCATGATCCTAGTTCATGTTGGGATGGCTAATGCAACACATACAAGATGAAACTACAATAGGCTTGGCTATCCTAATGATGGCATGTGAAATGCTGCAACTAACAGGTATTCAACTTGGAATTGAAATACAATGCAGTTAGTATGATGCGCCGAGCCCGGTGCATGCAAGACAAATGTATGGATGCACGCATGCATAGCATAAGGTATGCTAAATCAAATATGACCTAATACTAACCATCAAAAGCAGATAAGTAAAAGGGAGAAAGAAGTGGGGGTTGGAAGACATGCACACATGCACCCACACTTATTACAAGTTAGCCCTCACTCAGAGGGACCGAAAGAATAATACAATTTAACTAACTAACAAGCTAATTAAATATTACAGACCACCTAATTAATTAAGAAAATTAATTAATCTAATTTAAGCAATAAACAGCCTCGGGAAGAGGGTCCAATGCGATGCGTGCTCGATTCCGCTCGGAAGTCACTGCCATGCACAAGCTGCCTCTGCTTTGACTGTTCTGTTTCTCTGAAGACTGCACAAGTCCCAAGGTTGCTTCTCTAAGTGCTGTGGAGCACCACCGGCTAAGACAGAACACCACCGGCCATGTCCGGATGGTCATCGACCATCTGTAAAGCCATCGGCCAACAATGGATGGCCGGTCGGTAGTATAGTTGGCCGGCCGGCCAAAGCTTCCTGCAAAACCTGTTTTGACAGCAGTAGAGGGCAAAACATGGCATGGCAATGCATTTCAAGCAAATGTGTGCACCACCACATCCTTTATCATGTTTGTGACTCAAAGGGGTATGGTGCTCGATTCTCGGACTACCAATCACGCATTTCAATGCGTGATGGCCCAAAAGCCAAGTGTGCAACTTCAATATCAAATGAAATGCACACACAAAACGCATCAAAGGCCCCAACCTTTATCATGCTTAATCAAGAGGCAAGGGATGCATGTACAATGCAAGGCAACCTAAGCATGCAAGCAAGGCTAATGCAACAACATGCGATAATGGACTTAAACTAACATGGATAGCTCGCAAGCATGCCAAAATTAGTGGCCAAAATGATGCAACAAAGGCATGAAAACACACACACAAATATGCATCAACAAGGGCCTAAACATGGAGCATAAGCCATCAACTCTTCAAAGCATGAAAGGGATGGAAAATGCAAGCATATAAGCACATCATGAGGTCTGAAATAACATACCAAGTGATTCCAAACCACTGAAACAAAGCAAGGATGGCATGCTAGAGAGGCCAAAACTTAAGGCATTCAAGAGGGATTGCATGGTAGCTATACAAAGCAAGACATGAATGACTCAAATGACGTAAAACAGTCCCTTAGCACATCAAAATATGCATGTAAGCATCACAAAGCTTAGCCAAAACACATGAGCATGGTAGTCTAAATGCTATGCATGTATTGAGCAAATCATGGCATTACAAGGCATGTATGCTAAGCAAGCATGGTGTACCAAAACCAATTAAAAACAGAGCTATATCATGACATAATAAGCATAAATATCAGTCAAGGCATGGCCAACATGAACCTAAACATGATGCTCACTAAAGAGACAAAAATGGCCCTTTTCAAGGACAACAAGGAGAGGGGGTGGCCCTCTCCTTCTTAGGACCTTAAGGCACCATCCTCATCACTGAAATCT